GGCAGGTCACAGAGTTCTCTCACAAATTTCCCATCAGCTGTCCATACATCCACCTTCTTGGGGAACCTTCCACATGGCACAATATAAGAATATGGCCTATGAATTGAAGTAATCAAAAGATACTTCTCATCTGGGGAAGGGTCCATTGATGTGTACACAGCTGGTGGGCCAACCTCCTTAACTTTGCCATCCAAAGAACCCAAAACAAGTTGCGAAGTGGCATAGTAGTCAAATAAATTCTCATCATACTCATCCTTCAGTAAATCCTGGAAGGTTCTAACTTGAATAACACTTTTCTGCTCATTGGACTGAATTTTTGGGCCAGGAGGAACCAAGGGTTTCTTAGGTGGTTCTCCACGTGATAAGGGAATTGTGCAAACTAAAAGAGTTGAATCATCTACCCATACAAAATTACCAAAAACTCCATTCAGGCAGATATCTGGTGATTGGAACAGTGGTCTAGCTTCCCCTGTTTCTATGTCTGCAACCCACACCCTAAGCTTACCACTACTGCCATCCTCCTCATCATCATCAAATCGAATACTAAATGCTAAATGCCGACCATCATTTGACCAGGTAACGAAATTGATTTTAGCACCATCTGGGAATCCATGTACCTCTTTCTCAGGCCCCAAAGTGCAATCAGGCATTAGTTGATGAATCCCAATACCAGTATAGAATGACATCCGACTCCTAGTATTGCATTTTCCATCAATACGAATGCCAGCCAGCTTCTCTTCTGGTTTTGCTAGTTCCACCAGTGGAGGTAAAGATCTCCGCTTAAGAAATAGTATTTTATCCCTTTTTGGTGAAAAAGACAATGCAGGAAGAGGCGGAGCATCAACAATATCTTTAATCTCTGGTGGTGGAACATGATATTTAACTCCAATTACTGCAATAAATGTTAGATAAAAAAGGATCACTCCTTCAAGGTTAATGATATTGGTTTATATAAAATGATTAAATACAAGCACCAATGAGCTTAGGTCCAACACAATAACATAGTCTACAATTCTTCCTAATGCGGGGAATCCAACTTGTCACATACTAATAGCCAACTACCCAATGGATTGTCTTTATAATCCATCATTCTTTACATATAGTGTTGAGTAGCAATTTAAAAAATGGAAAAACACAGTAAAAAAATGGAGAAAAAAGATTTACACAGGTTGGATGATATAAAATTTAGGCATCACTTCAGTAGACCATGGATATTGCTTTAGAACAAAATTTCTTACCTTAATTTTTGTCCCAAAAAGAACTCACGAGAAAGATTTTAAGTTAGTAAAACTCAAAGAAGTAACAAATTCTAAGCAGCAAATCTCCAGTGATGCTTTCCACTTTAGTTCTCACTAACATTAACTTCT